AGATCATTCAGCTTCTTAAAGTAGGAAATCCTACTATATATATAAAGTAAAATGTTTACCCCAATAAGTTCAGTGAACATTTATCACCACACACACATTAATGCTGTCTTTTCAAACACCATCACTGCACAGTTTAACATGGGGACAAGACTCCATGCAAGGCAAGTGACCAGGACTGTGCCAACTGAGATAAGACCCTGGAATTAGGAGAGAGGAAAGGCCCATCTTAGCATAAGGACGAGGACAGGATGTGTCTGTAGGCTGCTTCTCAGTTCCTATTGGAATTTCTTTAACTTAACATGACATGTAACTGCCTAAGAATCTTGTGGCCTGGAAAGACAGCTGCTCAACCTATGCAGGTGGCGTGCTAGACCATCTCCCTATTCTCGCTTCTCTAAAAACACCTTTCAGGAGGTCTTAGTTACATCCATATTAGGAAACTGGAGCTCAAAAGAGAGACAGCTTCGCCTGGCCACAGGGGTGAGCCCTGGGTGCTCCATCCCGAGTGCCTGTGCAGAGCTCTCTGTTCATTGCCTCCTGCTCCATGGACAGGGTAAGATAGTGGAGCAGATGTGTTTCCACAAAAGATATGTTCTGAATCAACTTGATAGCCTCCTCAGCTCCTTCCCCATGTAGATAAGGCACTCCACTGGTAGTTTACCTGGCAGAATCTACCCCATTCTGCCTGTCCATCATTTGGGTCAGGAGCCAAATGACACACATATGGCACCCACCTGCAGGTCTTAGGTGCTGGGTCTTTCTTCCTAACTAGCTTCCATTAGAATTGGGCTGAGCAAATATGAGTGAGTGGGACTGGGATAAATGTATAGACAATCGAAAGCCTATAAATCAACCCACACATCCATGAACAATTTACAACAAAGCAGTCAAGCACATACAATAGAGAAAGGAAATTGTCTTCACTGAAAGGTTTTCTTCAACAAAGTCTGGACAGCCACATACAAGAGAATGAGACTCAAAACTGTATAGTATGATACAAAGAATTAATTCAAAATGAATTATGGGACTGGGATAGAAGGTCTAACTCATAAAATACAAAGAAAAGAAAACACAGTTGCTACATTCCATGACATTAACCTAAGAAATGTCTTTGGAGATGTTGACTACAACATCAAGGGGGAGGGGAGTAAAAATAAACAAATGGGATCACTACCAGTTTATCAAACTAAAAAAAATATACAGCAAAAGAAGCCAACACAAACTAAAACAGCAACATACTGATTGGGAGAAGTCATCTGCAAATCCTACCAGACAATGGGTTGATAACCTAATGTAGAGAACAAAACAGAAAATCCATTCAATCAAGAAGTAAGCATATGATCAGAGTAGACATTTGTCCAAAGAAGACACAGATGGCCAGCATGACGCCTTCAGATGCTCACCTTCACTATGATCAAGAAAATGCAAATCAAAACCACAATGATCTATCACTTCACACCTGTGAAAATAGCCTTTATAAAAAACCATATATATATATATATATATATATATATAAATGAAACAAGAATTGACAAGGTTGTTCAGAAAGAGGAACCCTTGTATGCTGTTTGTAGGAATGTAAATTGGTGCAGCCATTATGGAAATCAGCATTAAGATGCTTCAGAAAGTTAAAATCACAACTATAATATGATCCAGAAATTACACCTATGGATATTTATCAAACGAATACAAGAACATTGATTTGAAAAGATATGTGCACCCTTATGTTCACAGCAACATTATTCAGCATAACCAAGACACGGAAACAACCTAAATGCTCGTCAGTGGATGACTGGTTAAAATATATATAATCAATAAATACTACTCAGCTGCATAAAAAGGTGAAATCTTCCATACCCTCTGTTTTTTTCTGAACATGAATGGAACTTCACATTATTGAGAAGGATAAATAGTGGATGGTTTCATCCAAATTTGAAATATAAAGAAAGCAAGTGAGCTAACAATTCTTAGAACATGTCAATAAAAAGATGGTTACCATAGGGGAAGTGAAAGTTGGGCAGAGGAAGAAGGTAAAGGGGTGAGTTAGATAATGAATGGCACTCGGGCTTACAGTGGGTGTAGTGAGGTTTATTCACTTATCAAGCTGTGAAACTGTACTTCTTAATCTTATGCAGTATTGTAAACAATGGTAAATCAATTTTTTAGAAGTTCAGCACATGGTCCTCCATTCTTAAAGTTGTATTGAAAGATAGCCTTTCTCGTTTAATGCAATTTTTATATTGCAATGACAGATTTGAATAGCTGCCACAGAGACCAGCCTTCAAACCCTAAAATATTTACTGTCCTTTCACCAAAACCAAAACAAAAACTAGTCATAATGTGCTTTATTCTATTGTCTTCCTGGGTTATGTATTGCTTCTTCATCGTTGTCTTCAGCATTAAGCCAACCCTATTTAACCTTTGTTCCATCCCATTCTCTGCCCTGGACATGATTTTGAAGAAAAAAGGATAGCTCTGGCTTTGGAGAAGTGCATAATTACAACAAAACAGAATCATCATAAAGCAGGGTTGCAGGGTTGAACAGAAATGAAGAGACAGATTCTAAAACGGGCCAGCATTTAATGGTATCTACAGTTGTAAAAAAAAAAAAAAAATCAGTTGATCAGAAAGAGAGCGGCCACTGAAGCTGCCCATCAGCAGGTCACTGGTGACCTTTGGAACTCTAGTGTCAGCTCAGTGACAGGGGCAGAAACCAAATTTCCAGTAGAGAACACCATGATTTGGACTTCCGGAATGGGCTTTGGGTTATTACTGGCTGAGTACGAACAAAAGGTTAACACTTCTGCCTGCTGATTTCTCCTGGGCAATTTTGTGATTGTTTCCTTATTTAACTTCTCTACACATTAAACAGCTAGTCGTGCTCATCATTTGTAATCAAGCAGCTGTTGTGTTTGGAGGATTGCGCTAGTGCAACTACCCGCCTGCGTACAGGGTGTCTCTAAGGGCACAGCGGCTTATTTTCTTTTCTTCTTTTTTTAAAGTGTGGAGCTAAAACTTTTGCCCTGGTCTGTGTTCCTTGAATCCTTGACAGCAGGAGTTGTGGAATGTTAATGAGGGCATGTCTTTGCTGATGGACAAAGGGATCAGCGGCTCTCAGGTGTTAATGAGAGTCCTCAAAATTTATGCCCTTCGTGAGAGAGATGATGGCTCCCTGCTGAACTATCAATATTGGCCTTTCCAAGATGGACAAGGAAAAGGCAAGTTCCAGTCCAGCATAAATTTCAGTCATGCACTTGGAGATTTGGTAAATGCGGCAGAAATTCTAATGATCTCAATCATGAACTTCTTCCCTTCCACCTTCATACTTTGTCTTCAACCTCAAGGAGAATTGTGCCTTGTCCTTCTTGACTGTTTTTAATCCCAATTCCATTGTAGGGGACAAGAATTTGCTATCCCAAAATGTGTCTTTTTGATCAAAGGAAGGGCTCTGAAGGCTGGGAGGAGGTCGTTTTTGAAAAAGACACTTATAAGTAACCTTCTCTTTGAGGGGGCCTTCACATTATGCTGCAAAGACCAGTGTCCTTGTCTCCCTGTCCAGAGGAGAAGGCAAAACTAAAGCTACACACTTTTGTTTACTGAGCCTATCGCAATGAACACTGACTCCCCCTTCCCCCCCTCCACACTCACAACCTCCTGTGTCTTATGGACCATTTCAGTGGCCTGGAGGACCATGTGGGGAACTGCTCCTTCCTTCTGGGTCTCTCCCAAATGTCCATGTTGTTATTAAAGCTCACTTTGACTCTTTATCAGTGTGTCTGATGCTTCTTTGAAACACCCGGAGAACAGAACTATTTCTGCTGCATGATGACATGACACTTTCTCCCAGCGTCCACCTATCATTTACCCCATCTGTC